AGCAAGGGAAAGTGTCACTGAAAAAAAATTAAAAAAAAAAACCATTTCTATTCTTAGAACTACCTCTAGGAGTTCATTTTCAGAAAATGAAAAAAAAACAAACCCATAAAGTTTTACGCACAAAGATATTTACCACCACATTTTAAAAAGCATTTTACTGCAGTTTATTTAATATATATATCACTACATTTTTATATCACATTTGTAATAGTAAAAGTTAGAACCAATTTAAATCTGAATGATACAAGGAATGTTTATATAAAGTATAACATCTTCAGCAGAGTATTTTATAAAATCATTTCAAAAGGATAGTAAAGAGCTTCTAATACTAAAATGAAAGCTCAGTTCATGCCTATGATAGGGGGGGCCGGGTGGCTGATTTGGTTAAGCATCTGACTTCAGCTTAGGTAATGATCTCATAGTTCATGAGTTCAAGCCCCGCATCAGGCTCTGTGCTGACAGATCAGAGCCTGGAGCCTACTTCTGATTCTGTGTCTCCCTCTCTGCCCCTCCTCTGCTTGCACTCTCTCTTTCTCTCTCTCTCAAAAATAAACAAACATTAAAATTAAAAAAAAAAAGTTTAAAAAAACAATGACTATGGTAAACCTAAAGGTGTTTATTTTAAATTCTATTTTCCACTTCCATAGATTGATGTGGGGGAAATCCTGGGTAAAGGGAGAACCAAAGGAAGAAACCTCATTGAGAAGCCCCAAGTGAGACTAGCCAGAGAGCAGGCCAAGAACCCAGAAGGAAAAAGGGAGTAAAATAAGACAAAAGAATTCAGACGAACCACTGAGAGATGAAATCAGGAGAAATACCATAAACGGCAGCTGAAATTACAGAATAAGTAAATGGGATGCTGAAGTAACAGCCTGTCTTCACTGATACGGACTCTACAGGCAGGCCTTGTGATAAATGAAATGTATAGTACAATATAAATCTTCCAGAAAGAGTACACTCAGATCATAACATTGCTACAACAATTTAAAAATGGGAAGAGAAGTAGGATCAGTGTTTGCTCTCTGTCCTAGCACATTGTACAGTGATATATCTGAGACACATAAAACTGAAGTCATGTACCATCCCCTTTACGTCTCAGAGATCACACTAGTACAAGGTATGAGGAAGGTCTGTTCCCTGGTTCTTTGCAAATGAGGGAAGGTAACAGAAGGTCTCATAGCCTTAAGTTCCATGTGTAAGGCTGAGAGAAAACAGATAGGAATCACTATCTGAAGTTAGACAAGACCTTTTGATGAGAAGATAATAAGACTATTAAGTTAATAGAAGCTATACTTGCTGAGTACTTAGGGGTAACGAAAAAAGAGATTGCTAAACCTGAGGTTGTTTAACTTGTTTATTAATTTAAGTTCAAACAAACTGTTCTTGGTTCTAAGATTATCACAAAGGAGACAGACCATAATTTTCTTAGTTTTGCAACTGGTTACTTCCTTTACTCCATGCTGTCTAACACAGGATAGCCCCACATTCGTTTTTTATGTCTTCAGCTCACTAAATAGATCAACCTGTTTCTTAGCTCACCACCTCCTTAGCAGGAAAGACAAAAACCACTGACTATTAAAAAAAAAAAAAAAAAGACGTCTATTTTGGAACACAGCTCTAAGCCAACTTAGTTTTAAATGTTCTTACTATGGGTGGGGGCGGGGGGCGCCTGGGTGGCTCAGTTGGTTAAGCATCCGACTTCAGCTCAGGTCATGATCTCACAGTTTGTGGGTTCAAGCCCCGCACTGGGCTCTGTGCTGACAGCTCAGAGCCCCAAAGCCTGCTTCAGATTCTGTGTCTCCCTTTCGCTGCCTGTCCCCTGTTCGCACCCTGTCTCTCTCTCTCAAAAATAAACATAAAAATAAGCAAACAAACAAATAAATAAATATTCTTACCATAGGAAAATTTAAGAAGGAAAACAGGTATCAGAGTATGCTTAATTGGACATTTTCTTTTCTGTTTTGTTTTAAAGAAGTTTTAGCTATCCAAATTATTGCTTAAGTCCTTTCTAAAGAAAATAAGCAAAGTCTTTAAAAGTCTGTTTCATACAGGCCAGATTATAAATTCATGATGCAATAAAATTATGTGCTGCATATATATATTCATATATATATATACTTCATATTCACATGGGATCCTTTATAAAAGTAATGGGTACAATGCATTTATAACCACTTTATTGGACTGGAGGCGTCAAACTCTTCTAGTTGATTTCAGAAGTATACAGTCTTAGTTTTTGAACACTTAATTATAACTTTGTCATGGTCAAATATGATCTAACACATGACAATCTTTTTAAAGCCAGTTTCTGAGAATATACTGTGATAAATACTATCTTTACTAAAACTCTCAACTAATACACAGTGAATCAGTTTGCATCACTCCCTAAAAATCAGAAAAAAGTAAAACTTTCCATTAGAATAATTACATAAATTATGACATAGCCCATTAACAGATACTATATAGTTCTTAATGACAAACTGAGATTATAAATTAACACTGGAAAATGCTTATGACAGAACACTGGATAAAAAGGTGAGATGCAAATTTTTCAGTATAGAATGATTATAGTATAGAGTAACCTGGAGGGATAAAGATCATAATGCTAAAAGTAGATACTTTAGTATAGAGGGATTATAGGTAACCTTTTTCTTCTCTCATTCCTAAAAGTTTAAAATTTGTTTATATTCTTTTTTATGAAGATAATTTTTATTAAAAAGCATCACTGAATACATAATATTTCATAGGCTACTGTCTTTTTAACCTTTAAAAATGTTTTTTTTAAGTTTTATTTAAGTTTATTCATTTTGAGAGGGAGAGAGAGAATCCCAAACAGGCTCCACACTGTCAGCACAGAGCCTGATAGAGGGCTTGAACCCATGAACTGTGAGATCATGACCTAAGCCGAAATCAAGAATCAGATGCTTAACTGACTGAGCCACCCAGGTGCCCCTTAACCTTTTTTAATCCTATCTTATAGTAATGGAAGTTAATGGTAGATAGAATATAAAAATTTGTTCAGAACATAAAAAAAAATCTGTTAGAAATAAAAGGAGGACCAAGGGGGAGAAGAAGGGGGGAAATAGTGGGGGAGAGGGAGGCAAAGCATGAAAGACTCGTGAATACTGAGAACAAACTGAGGACTGATGGGTGTGGGGGGGGTAGGGGGGAGGTGGGCATGGAGGAGGGCACTTGTGGGGATGAGCACTGGGTGTTATATGGAAACCAACTTGACAATAAACTATTTGTAAAAAAAAAAAAAAAAGAATCCCCCCCCCAAAAAGAAATAAAAGTAGGAATTAGAATTCTAACTGCAAAGAAAACTAAAGAAAAAAAGAGACAATTTGCTGATGTCTAAAGATGTGATGATTAAATTTGTTGTAAAATTCAAAGCTTTCTTTTTCAATTACTTTTTTGGGAAAAGAACATTAGCACAAATAACTAATTCATAAAGAAGATCATAACTACAACAGCATAAAGACACAGATGAGGATTATAGAAAGAGGAAGGAGAGGGACCACCAAATACTAGCAAATCTGATATAAGTGACCAGGAACTATGATCTACGGAACTATCAACAAGGATATTATACAGACCATCTTCTTTTAGGAGATTCCCAACCTTGTACGCATGTTAACTTTCTTAAATCTATCTACTGATAGATTAGATATAATTATTTTACACAATGACTCTGTGGCCACTCTATATCCTGATGTCCTTCAATAAATAAGAGAAAACATTTCAGAGATAAGATGTGAGAACCAAAATGAAGTCAATCGGTTAATGATAAGATATAATGAACGTACCAAAAAAAACTCAAATACTCTGATGAAAAGTGGGCAAAAGATATGAATAGACATTTCTCCAAAGAAGACATCCAGATGGCCAACGGACACTTGAAGACATGCTCAACATCATTGATCATAGGGAAATGTAAATCAAAACCAAAATAAGACATCACTTCACACCTATTAGAACAGCTAAAATAAAAAACACAAGAAACAACAAGTGTTGTTGGTGAGGATGTGGTAAAAAAGGAACCCTCGTGCATATTGGTGGGAATGCAAACTGATACAGCCACTGTGGAAAACAGTATGGAGGTTCCTCAAAAAATTTAAAAATAGAAGTATCATATGATCCAGTAATTCTACTACTGGATATTTACCCAATGAATATGAAAACACTAATTCAAGAGTATTTATGTAGCCCTATGTTTACTGTAGCATTATTTACAATAGGCAAGTTATAGAAGCAACCAAGGGTCCATCAATGGTTGAATCTGATATATATACAATGGAATATTACTCAGCCACAAAAAAGAATGAAATTTTACCATGTGCATCAATATGGATGGATCCAGAAGGTATACAGTCAAATAGCTCAGTCAGAGAAAGACAAAGACTGTATGATCAGTCATATGTGCAATTTAAGAAATAAAACAAATGAACAAAGAAAAAGAGACAAAGCAAAAAACAGACTCTTAACTACAGAGAACAAACTGATGGTTACTGGAAGGGAGGTGGGTGGGGGGATGGGTGAAATAGGTGAAGGAGATTAAGAGTACACTTATCATGATGAGCACTGAACAACATATAGAAATGCTGAATCACTATATGGTACATCTAAAACTAATATAACAATGTATGTTAGTTATACTGGAATTAAAAATAAAAGTAAACTCAACACTATCTGGTCATTTACCAACTTCAGCAGCAATCTGCAAATAACGGACATCCAATAACAAGTGTTCATTATCAAGTACATCAGAGCACATTCTATTTTTAAGACCACAGAGTATTTCTAGCACTCAGAAATCACAGATTTAGAATGACAGCTAAAAATAATAGTTCATTGTCACATTTGTATAAATATTTATAGATGTGTTTAAGAAAATGTACCTTTTGAAAAAGGAAACTAGATTATTAAATTTAAAATGCAAGAAGATAAAACAGATTGTCACACATACAAAAATGTGTCAAACTGGAAACTTATCACCTTACCATAGGTGGCAAACGTTCTTCTTTGCTGTTCAAACATAAAGTCATTGATATGAGCTGGTTCAGCATATCCGGAAAGCATATTTCTAGGGGCAGCCATTTGCTGTGTCCTGAAGGGATTTTCTGGTCCAAACTGCAATGTTATAAGAAAAAAAACCAAAAAAAAAAACAGACTTAAATTGTAATTACATAAAGTTAGAATACTAGAATTATTGTACAATATATTTTCAACTCTAAATCAAGAGTGGCTAAGTAACCTACTTGGGAACATGTTCCCCACACAAGGTTCAGCGCGGCTGGGCAACGGCTGATGAGCACTGTTTGTTAGCCCAGCGCCTAGGGCAGAAGGAGAGGAACCCTGCTCACCCAAGTCTCTGTGTAGGTATTTAAATTTAAATTACTTAAAATAAAATACTCAGTTCCTAGGTCACACTAGCCACACATCATGAGCTCAACAGTCACATGTGGTTATTGGCTACCACATTTCCTTTACTGCAGGAAGTTCTATTGACAATGCTGCTCTTGATAATTGAGTTACTATTATTTTTTGTCCATGATTTGGGGGATTTTTGGTGACTTTTTTTAATTTATAAAGATGATTTTTGGTAACTTTTATATCAATAATGGTACCATGATGTAATTTTAAAAATACAGTTTCTTTTCTACTAGATCATGAGTTCTTCAAAGGCAGAGACTTAAAATCCTCAATACTTACCATCATGCACATATAGAAAGCACTAATGAAGTGAAAGATTAATCAGAACCCCTCTGGGGTCAGAGACTAGGAAATAGACAATAAAAGTAAAATGCTTGAAGAAATCCCTAAAGATATTACAAATGAAATAAAATTACTCTGAGAAGTCACACTATGAAAGTCTTACACAAAATAGTACATTATTATCTGTTTATAATGCTTTGAGTTTCCATATGGTTTTCAAATGTTATTTAGTTTGATCTGTACAAAAATCCTGGAAAGTTAGAGAGGTATTCTCCTTCTCGTGTTAGAAATAAGAAAAAAGGCCAAAGGTGATATATTTTATCTGCCCTAGAGTCCATAGTCTTATTATTATTAATTGGTAGAACCAAGGTTAGAACAAACTGTAGTCGAGGATTCTATTGTGTAACATTTCTTAAATGTACAATCATACTGACTTTAAAAATAACGGGTAAAAAAGGGTACCAGATTATGACAAGCACTATTAATTTAATGATATTTATTTAATACTAATGGAAAAATACAGCTCTGTATTTTCTTTTTTGTTTTTAATTTTTGTAATGTTTATTAATCTTAGCGAGACAGAGAGAGAGAGACACAGAATCTGAAGCAGGCTTTAGGCTCTGAGCTGTCAGCACATAGCCTGACGCGGGGCTCAAACTCATGAACCATAAGATCATGATCTGAGCCAAAGTCAAAAGCTTAACCAACTGAGTTACCCAGGGGGCCCTTTCTTTTGTTTCTAAATAAAGAATGAAAATGAACTTCCCACTTTGGAAATAGTGGGATCATACAGGATATTCTCAAGTCTGGAAGGTCTTCGCGATAAAGTATTTCAACTTCAGAACATCTTAGGTCACTACCATAAGAAACCACCATTCCTATGATATATTTCCAGAACCATAAATACAAGTTATCGGTCTTCTCTTAAGGACAATGCTGCCTTCGCTAGATACCAATATTATACTATGCACAAAAATCTGAATTTAAATGTTACATTTGCCTTATGGTTTTTTTCTGCTTCAGAAGAAAATGCATTACTACAATATTCTTTTATATTGACAGCTTCCATTTCTATGTTTAAAGTGATTCAATTTTAAAATACCTGATTTACATACAAAACTTTTATTACTATTCATTCTGAATTTATAATAAAGGATAGTACAAGATTTTACAGCCTATATTAGTTCCTCCTTACTAATGGGTGGAAACGTAAGGGAGAAAAAAAATCTAGACTGCTGAATGCTGGTAGTTATAGGAACTTCTTTGTCATGAAATTCATTACAAAAACAAGGAACATCCAGAATACTAAGGATAAGAAAGTGGTTTAAGTTTCCTAGATGTTCTACCTAATATAATATGGTAAGCTATCCTCCACAAAGCAGTATCTGATACTTCTAGGGGGAAAATCTAAAATGATAAATATCTTCATTGCTCTGACTGTTACTCATATAATAAGTTAATCATTACATTTATAATTTCCATTTGAAAAAGGAAAATACGATTTCCATAGTCTTATTAAGATTTTACAAAAAAAAAAGAACAATTCTTCTATTTGTCATACATATCAAATCAGCTCTTTTAAAGGAAAATTCTCAGCATTAAGGAACTTTGATTTCTATATGAATACAGAGCCACATATTAGAGCTAGTATATGTTATATTGGTGCCATTTCCAAAGCAGTCTAAAAATTTAAATCTGCTATGTTTTATAGATATTTAAGCTGGAGACAACACAAAAACATCTAATGCTATAGGAAGCTGGGTTGGGGGAGGATCTATCTACCTCTGGCCCACCTCAACTACCTGTAACAGCAGCTATTGGAAGGGACCTTAAAGGCTAAATAAATGCCCACAAAGAAAAGAAGAGAAATGTTATTCAGCAAAAGTCAGCACTTCCCAATTCCTTAAAAACTGTGTGTCCATGGCAATGAGAAAGAATGAAATCTGGCCATGTGTAGCAACATGGATGGAACTTGAGGGTGTTATGCTGAGCAAAATAAGTCAGGCAGAGAAGGACAGCTACCATATGTTTGGACCGTGGGGGAGAAGAAGGGAAGCGGGGGGGGGGGGGGGGGGCAAATCATGAGAAACTCTTGAATGCTGAGAACAAACTGAGGACTGATGGGTATGGAGGGTAGGGGAAGGGGGGGTGATGGGCATGGAGGAGGGCATTTGTGGGGATGAGCACTGGGTGTTATATGGAAACCAACTTGACAATAAACTATTTAAAAACAAACAAACAAACAAAAAAACTATGTGTCCCAGATGCTCCTGGTCTCTGTGAATATGCATTTCTATTAACTCTGAACTAACCATTAAAAAACAAAACAAAGCATAGGAACGCCTGGCTCAGTTGGTGGAGCAAGTGATCCTTGATCTTGCGATTGTGAGTTCAAGCCTCACGTTGGTTGCAGAGAATACTTAAAATAAAAATATCTTTTAAAAAATAAAAAATTAAAATACAAAGCATGTAAAAAACACACAAAACTGACTTCCAAATATTCTTTTTAACTTTTGGTAATTAACTATGTTCAAGAGTAAATTTGTATTCAAGGGATTTTAAAAATACATATTTAAGTTAGGCATGAGTATTTAACAGTTTTAAGCTAAGACCATACTGAAGTACACCACGGTCAATTATAATCTTAATCTCCCATATAAAATAGACACATTTAGGTATTAATTCATAATTCAGATCACTGCATCTCAGGATGTTCCTAAGTATGCTTATTATCTTCCACCTGAGTGAAGTAGTGATTTATTTATAAAGTAGGAGAAAAGCATTTTTAATTCGTTAAGACACTGGTGGATAAATCTCAGAAATCTGTGTATCGTAAGGCAGTGGCTCTCCAAAGTCTTCAGGAGGTGGAGTACTTGAGGGTCAGTGTCTTAGCAGTATAGCACAATGTCACAGGTATTAAGAAAATTTACACTAGCAAAAACTGACTATTGTGAAATCATAATCATAAATTCACATATAGAATGCCCCCCCAAGTTACTGAACTAATAATAATCATATTATACTTAGATTTCTGATAAGTTTTTCATTAATGTTTACTGTAGCCATCAATGGTTAAACATTTAGAAACAAACTTTAAGGTGAGAAGAGCCTATTGATTAACTTAATTATTTCCCACAAATTGGGAAAAGATCACCACAATTCAGTTTTATTGGCAGAATATCACAATCATGTAAGACATAAGCACAGTTTAAATATTATTAAAATAAGAATTTTTTATTAGTGTGGGTTCTATGGCTTTGGGCCTCAGTTTCCTCATCTATGAAATAAAAGGGCTGACCTGTTTTCTAAAGTTCATTCTAACATTAATATTTATAGTAGCCGTTATGGCCAGATATCTAATAGAAACTAGGATTTATTTCCTTTTAACTTTAATGTTTTTTTCTATTACTAAAAGTATTATTCTTTTAAATCTGAAAATCTCCCTGAGGATTATAGGTTTTACATGAGTCTAGAAAAGGTAACAAATACATTTTTCTCTAAGCATATCCAAAAAGGATTGAGTGAAATAAAGAAAGTGAGTAGACTAAAGCAATGGCTGTTATCTCTTCAAGTCCTGTCTATAATTTGAGTAAGCTTATCTGGATACTAGGTTAGACCATTTAGGGAAAGTCCTCGGTTGGGAGGCAAAAACAATATTTTATACAATAAAGTAGTCAATTCAGTTAATTTACTCAACTAGTAAAGTCAAAGACATGGGGTGTAATGTGCAAACTCCGCAATGGTCTACAAACAGGTCTTCCAGCCACAGAGCAATTGTCAAGAATGATGTGAACTCACATCCCCAAATACGTTACCTGCTGGCAGTAAACCCTGACACTTGGTTTCCTCGCTATAAAATAGGGATTAGAGTACTTACTTCACAGGGTTATTGTAAAGGCTAAAGGAGATAAGGTATACAAATATATAAATCCCTCAGTATAGGGTACCTAGGATACAGTAATAAATGGTAGTTTTATTTCATTAGTTTCTATGACCACTCTTTTCCATCATGCAAACCCTTACCAAATTAATCTTCCTAAAAATTCGGCTTTAATTATGCCACTTTAATAAGAACTTTAAAAATCTGTGTATCATTTATTAAATCGAGACCAAACTGCTTACATTGGCCAGAACCCTGTGCAACACTATGCAAACTATCATTCTAATCTTACCTCTCTGTTCTCCTCTACTGACAATGACTAAAGTAGTCCTCCCTGTTCTAATGCTACTCTCTTCTGCCTGGAATCTTTCCTCATAAAAGCCTTTCTAGCCATCAGCGCCAGTAGTAGTAACATAAATAACAATAAGGGCTGCTATTTATTAAATGCTTACTCTATGCCAGAGTTTCCTAAGCCTATCAGACATTATTATGTATATCCATATAACTCAGTAAAGTAGAAATCATCTTCATTCTACCTTTGAGAAAACTAAGATAATCCAAAGTCACACCAGAGCTAATACGCAGTGCATTTAACCTCAAATCTCATGTTCTTAACTGGGACTTTACTGTTTATTTTTAAAAATTTATTTATTTAAATTCAAGTTAGTTAACATACAGTTTAGTATTGGTTTCAGGAGTAGAATTTAGTGATTCATCACTTACATATAACACCTAGTGCTCATCCCAACAAATGCCCTCCTTAATACCCAGCACCCATTTAGCCCATTCCCCCACTCATCAACCCTCAGTTTGTTCTCTGTATTTAAGGGTCTCCTGTGGTTTGCCTAGCTCTCTCTTCTCTTATTTTTCCTTCTCCTCCCCTACGTTCATCTGCTGTGTTTCTTTAATTCTACATGAGTGAATTCATATATGTGTCTTTCTCTGACTTATTTGCTTAGCATAATACACTTTAGTTCTATCCACTTTGTTGCAAATGCTGATTTGAAGAGGAACATGCACCCCAATGTTTATAGCAGCACTCTAAACAATAGCCAAATTATGGAAAACACTCAAACGTCCATCGGCTGATGAATGGATAAAGAAGATATGGTATATAAAATGGAATACTAGTTGGTGATCAAAAAGAATGAAATCTTGCCATTTATTGTTTATTTTATTTAAAAAAATTTTTTTTATTTTTTTATTTTAGAGAGAGAGAGACAGAGTGGAAGGAGGGGAGGGGCAGATAGAGAGGCAGACACAGAATCTGAACCAGGCTCCAGGCTCTGAGCTGCCAGCACAGAGCCTGACGCGGGGCTTGAACTCACAGAACCGTGAGATCATGAGCTGAGCTGAAGTCAGAGGCTTAACCAACTGAGCCACCCAGGTGCCCCAGCCATTTATTGTTTATTTTAAATACTATTTCCTCCGTGAAACTTTTTCTTATCTTTACAACCAGACACAATCTCTCCTTTAACTTGAATAGTACTTTATGCATTCTAGGAAAGAGTCTGGTCTTTATCTTTTTAAAAATAACACTAAGCATATCCTCTCTGGTAAACAGTAGCTTTAGGAGAGGGGTTATATCTTGTTTCTAGCAATAGATTCTCAAAACAAGGGAACTTGAAATTCATCCAGCAAAGTTCCTGGTAACACCTTTCCATACTTTGTCAAATTATACAGATCCTACTCATAAAATTCTAAGTTAATAATCTATTATGTAACAGACAATTCATTTGGCAACCAGGAAAAATTGTAATTTTTCTTCACTTCTCCCTCTCCTCACTCTTCTTAAATTGGTGACAAGCATCAGTGTTCCTAACGTAAGCTAATTTATATATTGAATGTGAGGTTTCCTAAGAAAAGAAAAAGAGAACACATTACTAAAGGATTGGTAATCTTACAAAGAGAATGATAGGCCTAATGCCTCATCGATATCACCAAAAAAACCAACTTTATCTTTTAAATTTTCAAAACTATAATCACACAGCAATGTATTAGTTATGCACAAGACCTAAACATTTAAGAGAAAGAGACTTCATATAACATGCACAGACATAGGAAGGTCACACACATACCACACTACTTCCAAACGTTCTCATTTTCTGAATTTAGTGGCCCTATTTAATTGAAGTACTTTTCATTTAAAAAACCATGAAGCATATATTTAACACATAATCCTTCTTCACCATGCCAGCTAAAGGGGTGCCAAGGGATATGAAACCATCTAGAGGTACAATAGGCTAGAAGGATTTAAGAAATAATAGAATAAAATTTAAAATGTGCTGCAGTCTCAGAGTATGAGCCTGGGACTTCTGCTAACTAGACAGCCGGAGAACTGCTAAAGCGATGTCTAAATGCTGGCACCCACAACATTGACCGTGCTACATTTTTCACTTGCCGAATTTTTTTTTTTTTTTTTTTTTATTTCTAGGAGAGAGAGAGAGAGAGAGAGAGACAGCGTGAGCAGGGGAGGGTCAGAGAGAGAGGGAGATACAGACTCTGAAATAGGCTCCAGGCTCCGAGCTGGCAGTCAGCACAGAGCCTGACGCGGGGCTCGAACCCACGAACCTCGAGATCATGACCTAAGCAAAAGTCGGACGCTTAACCAACTAAGCCACCCAGGTGCCCCAAACTTGCCGAATTTTAAGTGATGACAGACACCTGAGAAGGCAATTATATAAAACAGCTTTATGACTGCTTAATCAAAAAAAGCAGATGCTCAAAACCAAAAAGTATTAAAAAGCACCTCTTCATTCACTCAGCTGCAATGGAAATATGGCTCCTCACCCCCATTTTTAAAGTGCTTCTTAAAGATCCTGCTACGGAAGGCTTATTTTTTTTGTTTTAGAATGACCATTTTCCGGCATCTCCATTTTCTAATCAAGGATTCTTTCCCTTTTTGAAAACAAAATAGCTAGAAGTTTCATTTTTTCTACAAAGACTTTCCTAAATGGACAGTTTTCACTGTTTGGGGATTTTTTTGTTTGTTTGTTTTTTTGCCATCCCCCCCTCATATTCTTTGTGCTTCCATCAGCATTAATCATCATCACCCACCATCACCATCATCATAAGATGTCTCATGCAGAGCGGGCAATGCGCACCGTGACTACTTCTTCTTCTGAGCAGGGAACACATGAGCGCCCCACTTCTTTTTAGCATTCAGCACGGGAGCATTCGTAACCAGATGTTTCATAATACACTCTGCACTGATGATGCTAATAAAACAAGTTCTTTTTCCCTTATGGTTAATTTATAATGCTCCCTTAACAATACTGAGGAAGATGTTAACTACGCTCACATCTAAGAATCAGGTATTTTAAGATGCTTTTTTTTCAAAAGACAGAGTTCCATTCTATCAGATAGTTGTATGTTGGTAGGTAAGCATTAGCAGATTTTTAAAAGTATATTTTCTTTTCGTTTTTTAAAAAACTGAGATATAACTGACATATAACAAGATATATTTTCTGAAAGTTTAAATAGTATATTCTTGTGAGAAAATTCTGAAAAACTCACTGTGTATCTACCTATGTATAATTCAAATATGTTAGCAAGAGGCAGAATCTTTTTTTTTTTTTTTTTAAAGGCAGAATCTTAAATATAATGTTTTCTTACCTCAGGAGCAAACATGGTCTCATAGGTAGGATTATACTGAACCTCTTTGACCGCAGGGTCAAGGTGAACTCCAGTCTCCAAATCTTCCTAAAAGAAAACCAAATGAACGTTAAACATCTGACAAATGATTTTATTTTAGAAACTACATTAAGATCACATAGCCATTTTAACACCAATTTTATGATTATTACATGAGTGCCATATGATTAATTCTAATAATCAAAGACTAATAGAAGTACGTAGGTATAGAGGTGAGGGTGCATAACAAAATTTTTTTCCTTTCAAAACACTGATTTTATGTCATCTGAACATATTGAAAAATTTCTCAAAAAGCTAATAAACTACTCAAATTCTTAAATTAAGAGAGTCCGGCTCCTCCTTCTTTAGGAACTCAAAAGAACTAACCTCCAGTTCCAAATTCAGGACAAGTCCTTCTTTTTATTCAGCAAACCTTATTAGCTACGCCCAGAGGCACATGGTTCAGGACTGCAGAAGTGACAGGACCCTAACATTCTAAATCTGAATCTCACAGTCTGTGCTAAAGTTTCAACCTTCTTAAATTCATCGCCTAGTTTCACAAACACGAACATCTCATGTCCACTAGAGAATCACCGGTGATCTCTATATTCGTGTAACCCCAACACTTATTCCCAAACTGGCATCTCTAACCGGAACCTCTCCTCTGAACTCTAAAGACTTGTGTATCTGACCTGTAACTCACCATCTTTTCTCCTAGGATGCCTAACAGACATCTGAAACTTGATATATCCAAAAGGGATATATCCAAAAGGTCACCCCTTCCCAGTGACTTCTTCCAGCCTTACATTTGCTCACGTGAAAACTCCTAGAGTTATCCTTGATTCCTCTTTCTTTCACGTTGTGTCTCCAATTCATCAGCAGATCCTCCATCTTCTATACACATCTAGAGTTCAAACACTTCTCAAGTCCTCTTTCATGGACATCTCACTGCCCAATTTAGCCACTCACCCCTGGATTATTGCAACAGCCTCTTAACGGGGCTCCCTGCTTCTACCCCTGTCCGCTCACAGCCTCACTCCAGGCAGGAGCTGTGAGATTTAAAAAAAAAATATTACATTATGTTACTCCTGCTCTAAATCCTCAGGTCACTTCTCCACTCGGAGTGGAGCCTAACAAAGGCGTAAAGGCTCACTACCAGTTGTTCTCAGAAAGTATGGTTCCCCAGGGTAGCATCACAAAGCATTTTTATCTTCCTGTATCATCCTGCCTGAGTATTTACACATTAAAAACATGTTGTTCGTACATGTTTAATTTACACATTAAACAGGTTATAAATACCCTTCCTTTACTTAGGGTACTCAAGTTATATTTTAAAATTTTTAAGAAAGTTACATAACATCTGTGAACTATATTTCAGTAAAGTGGAATTACAAAATTACTATTACAAAATGAGGATGTATTAATCTAACTGGAGAATTATTCTCCCCCTGAGATCCCAGAATGATCTATACCCCCACTTGCCTCCAAACATTTCTGTATTCCTCTAGTTCTATGCTGATGCTCATTAACTCCAGTCTTATGCCTCAATTGCTTTTTCTAGAATTCACCAGAGGACAATCCTGCCTCAGGGTCTCTGCATGTACTGTTCCTTTTTCCTTTTTCCTGGAATGTTCTTTCCCTGGATATTCACATGATTGTTCTCTCTCTTTTATCAGGTCTCTGCTCAATTTTTTTTAAAAATATTTTTATTTATTTCTAGGAGAGAGAGAGAGACAGCGTGAGCAGGGGAGGGTCAGAGAGAGAGGGAGATACAGACTCTGAAATAGGCTCCAGGCTCTGAGCTGGCAGTCAGCACAGAGCCCGACGCGGGCCTCGAACCCACAAACCGCGAGATCATGACCTAAGCGAAAGTCAGACGCTGAACCGACTAAGCCACCCAGGCGCCCCTGCTCAATTTTTTTACTTTCCTCTTACTTTGCTTTATTTTTCTCCATTATACTTTTCATCATCTGTCATGTATATTTATTGTCTACCACCCCTTACTAAGCTATAAGCTACACAAGTTGGATTTTGAATGCACATATGTATCTTCAACCCCTAGAATTATCCCCATCACATCACCATCTTTATTCTGTTGGCCTTTTACTGATGTGACATACCTCTGTCAACACAATGCACAACACAATTCAAAGTAATAATCAAAAAAATTTTAATGTTTATTTTGAGAGAGAGCACGTGCGTGCATGGGAACACAGGGAACGGGCAGACAGAGGGAAAGAGAATCCTAAGGAGGCTCTGCGCTGTCAGCACATAGCCTGCCACAGGGCTCAATTCCCAATGAGATCATGACAGCCAAAATCAAGAGTTGGACGCTTAATTGACTGAGTCACCCAGGCACCCCTGAAATTTTTTTCTTAAGGTGGGATATCATAAAGTTGACAGTGACACTGGAGAAGAAGCAATACTACTGACAGATGAAGACCTGGGAGACTTAGAACAACTAATGACAAAAGACTAGAAAATTGACCAAGAAAATAACACTGTGGGCACACAATTATCGTTCCAAAATTTTACTTTTTTTTTTTTTTTAATGTTTTTATTTATTTCTGAGAGAGAGAGAGAGAGGCAGCGTGAGCAGAGGAGGGTCAGAGAGAGAGGGAGACACAGAATCCGAAGCATGCTCCAGGCTCTGAGCTAGCTGTCAGCACAAAGCCTGACGTGGGGCTCGAACTCACGAACCATGAGATCATGACCTGAGCCGAAGTTGGATACTCAACCGACTGAGCCACCCAGGTGCCCCCAAAATTTTACCACTTCTAAAGCAACCCTCACCCAAAGCAGACAACTTAATTTTTTCTACTTCTCATAGAGTTCTTAAAGTAGGACTTCCTTAAACTTCCATATTCTCTAGTTTCAAAACTGTATCTTTCCTTCTCCTGTCTTTCTCATGACTTCAATCTTTACCTTAAATTTTTATTTGCAACACTGGCCACACTCTTGGCCTCTGGATCCGTATATGTAACTGCTTACTGAACTGCACTACATGGATGTTCCATAGCATCAAACACTTTGCTGTGTCCAAAACAGATCTCATTCCACCATGACTCTACCTTTACTCACTAATAAATAAGGCACAGAATCTAACTGATTCTATTTCTGAAATATTTCTCCAGCAACCCTACTTCTACAGTCCCACTCCACAGCCCTGTCCCCACTATTCCAGCACAGACTCCATCATATCTTGTCTGTTATAATACCTCCTTATCTGTTTTAATGCACTCCTACTTTTGCCATGTTAGACAAATTACCGATTTTTTAAAAATATCAAGTACTTTCATCTATTCTGTGCTGTTGGCAATGTTACACTCTTTGTTCCTTACAGTGTATTCCTTTATTATCAGATAATATGTCATCTTAACTTTCTCTTATACCTTTCCTCCTCTTGGCTCAGGAAAACTGCTTTTCCATAGTCCTAAGGATTGTTGTACATAATTTCTTATAGCAATTGTGATATTACATTATTTGTTGCATATGACTTTTATGACGATTTTATATCCTCACTGCCTAGAATGCAGGGAATTCAGTGTATGTTCAATAAATATTTGTTAAATTGAAGAAAGAAAAGTCAAATCCATAGAGAAATTAAAGAGGGTGAATAAAGATTACCAAATTTGGCAATTACATCACAAACAAACTTTTGCCAGAGTGATTCTGGTACTGGAGTAGGGAGGAAAGCAGTTGTAAGAGGCAAAGGTATAACTAAAGATCTAAAAAAAGAGGACAGTAATAGCTTCTAACTTTCTCAAGACATCTGGCAATAAAGAAAAGAAGAGATGGGTTGCCAGATTGAAGGGTTTTCAAGGTAAAATTAAGTTTGTTAGTTCCCTCCTTAAAAAGAGACTAAGCTGAGATTTAGTCAGTTATGAGCTACAGGATAGGAGAGAGTAGGGAGAAATACATGGAAAAAAATAAGGGAGGGGAGCCTGGGTGGCTCAGTCAGTTAACTGTCAGACTCTTGATTTTGGCTCAGGTCATGATTTCATGGTTTTGAGCCCAACCTTGGGCTCTGAACTGACAGTGTGGAGCTGCTTGGGATTCTCTCTCTCTCTTTCTCTCTCTCTCTCTCCTCCGCCTTGCCCCTCCTCCACTTACATTCTTTTTCTCTCAAAATAAATAAACTAAAGAATGAGGGAATAATCAATGGTATGGTTATCCTGGAAGAAGTGGGAAGGAAAAGAATCGAGGACACAAATGGAAGATTAGCCTCTGAAAAGAGAGGCCCCTCTGAGATGAAACAGAGGTGACAAAGACAAGGATGGGTAATGGGTGACAGAGAGATGTTTGGAGCCGGTGGGAGATGTGGGACTCACAACTGATTTTATTTGTGCAGTTGGGGGCACAGGCCTCTTCACAAACCAAGTATGGTAACTTCAAATTCATTTATTCATTCAACAGATATTGATTGGGTGCCTACTAAGTGCCAAACATTGTTCTAGGCCTGTAGAAACAGATAACGCTCCCTGCCCTTGTAGAGCTGATATTCTAGACAATAAGCAATATATGAAATGAAATCCATAGTTTGCTGGAAGAGGGTAAATGCAATGAAAAAGTGCTTAACAATGTTAGTGCTGACTCACATTATCTCATATAATTCCTACAACACTTCTGTGAAGTATTAGCAACATTAAGTCACTTACCCCAAGATACTAATAGAATAAATGAGAAGGGGAAAAATTTCAAGTAACCACAATGAGCGATGTTAAAGAGACCCAATTAGCAACAAACAAAAAAAATCACTGGCAGGCTATCAATCGGGGTTCTTAGCCACAAGCAGCTGGAACCCTCACAGACTGATTAAACAATATTGAATTCTTTTGAGTACCGAATCCTTTCTCTTAGAACTGCCAAGAAGGGTGGAGAATCAGTTTAGGGAAATGGGCATAAATAAGGGCGTGTATACAGATGGAATCACAATTGAAAATCAATTATACCACAGAACCAGTCCACTGAGGACAAGAGTTCACCATTACTGAACATCATTACTAAATGGCTTTGGCTGCCACGGGACACTGCTGTTGAGACTCCTGGCCCGAGAAATGAAATGGTAG